TCGCTGGTAACAAAATTTATAGTGCGAAATGCGAAATGTCAAAAGTCATAAACAGCTGTTTATGAAAATGAAGTAAAAATATACAATACCGCAACAAAGTGAAAAAGCAAAATTTTTTGATTTCTTCCGTATTCAAATAAATAAACACCTTTCAGAAGATGATGACATGTAAAACGAAATAGAGGATGAAATTTTCGTTCCTAAGTCCTCCATGTAGACAGTGGACATAATGTACTACATGTATAATATTGAATGTACATATGTACGTACGTATATGCGTAAGCAAATTAACAAAATATTAAAGCAAATTTAGGGTTTCTTTCAATAAACTCTATTATTTTTTCTATTTCATCCAATTTCCACTTCTTTGCTTTCCTTGTTTGTGCCACTAGTTTGCACAAGTTAGCTGATTGCAATGGATTTGCGCATTTTGCATTTCAAATAGGGTTTCAACTGTGCGTTTTTTTCAAAAAGTATTTTGCATTTTCGCTCTTTCGCAGGGTTGCATTGTAATGATGCGGTTGCAAAACCGCTTGGAACTCGGCCTATCACTAGCAACAAAAACGATAATTTCAGATATATTGTTTATTATTTAAGAAATTAATTCCATTCTTATTAATCAAGGCATATTTTCTTAAGTATATAAATCATTTTTATAAACCAATAAGTGATTAATCAATTTCAATGTTGTTTGTTTAATTTATTAAACAAAAATTTTTGGATCGGACCTGCGAAACAACGTTAGGTAAGTTATCGAATAACATGGAAAACAACAACACAAAGTAAGCAGATATATTCGGTTTGAATAAAACTTCTTCTGCAGGTTGGTTGGGTAAGAAAACACATTTTTTTTAATAAAAAAAATCGTTAGTATAAATTTGAAAGTGAAAATTATAATGATTCAGAAAAATGAAAATATTTGAAATTAAAAAATCAGTAACATATAGATTTAAAAATTGAAAATTGTAAGTTACAAATGTTTAAGTAGATTCCTACAGATATCTAACTGAAAAGCGATAGTAACTAGATTGATTATCATTCATTCATAATAGTTGATATTGAACAGGTGTGCAAGGTTCGGATCACTCGAAAAAGTTCGTATAATTTTTTTAGTTTTGGTACTTACAAATATTTAGTCAAAAAAAAATTTTCATAAACTTTGATTCATCACTTTGAGTCATTACTAATTCATATTTTTCCCAAAAGTGATTGATATCACAACGATTTTAATCAAATATGTATGCAATGGAGCCATTTAAATAAGTTCCCCTTCCGTTTTCGTACTTCATTGATCTACTCCCGCCTCACACTCTGTTCTATAGTTCAATCAATATTTAAGCAGACACAGGTCTACCATAGACATCCAAAAGACTTTTCATTTGGTTGTGTTAAAAAAAGTAACTCTAAATTTGAGATAATGAAATAACTTGATATTAACTCTGGGTCATTTAACATATGTATATACGTACAAACTGACGAGTTTTCGTGGAACTTCCCTTACGCACTTTGAGCATAAAAACGTGAAATAGAATAAAATGGTGGCCATTCAATTAATGACTTCAATATTTACTGCAATGTTACTGTTAGATAACGTAGGTATCACATACATACGTGTATGTATATACGCAAGTATTTGCACTGACAATAAGGGATGACCAATGACGATCAAAACGTTAAGCAACCCAATGAGCGTAAGTAAAGTATGTGCAGAGTGTACATATTTACATATGTATATACCTATTGAAACATTTCAAACAGTTATATATGCATATGTATACGTATAAATAATTGGGGGTAGATCGCTGTAATAAAATGGAGGAAGGTCAGTGGTTGTATATGTATATATAGCTATAGATATAGCTTTGTATAATGCACAAATCTGGGGCATCTGCTTTCAATTTTATTGGCTGTTTGAGTTTAAAATAGCTCTTATTTTTATTTAAAATAGGAAATAAAATTGTGTCAACATTAATTAGCAGTTCTGCCAATTAAATGAGAATAAATGGTAAAATTAACCACAATTGTAAAATTTTGCTATTTTTATATAAACCAAAGGGCAAGAAATAGTATGTAATTATAAAAAAATTTACGAAAATCAATACAACTATTTATGCACATAAATAAATAATTTTCGAATTGCATATAATTATATATATAATATTAGCTAAGAATAGTTTTATCGATAACCCCTTTGTGATTTCTCAATAAAAAAATTACTACATTTTAACTTTTTGTTGTTTTGTTAATATGTATGCTTGTTTTATTTTATTTACTATTAGCTTACAATGAATTTATGTATAAGAATTTCAATATATTTTTAATATTCAAAATGACTAACTTATTTAGCATTTTAACACAATTCAATAAAGGCAACTCCTACGATCTAAATAAATATATTAGTTTTATTACTAGTTGGAATTATTTTAGTATTTTAAATGCTATAAATGTTGGTTACTTTTATGTTTTCACTTTGTTTTACATTCAATATTGTAGAATTAACTTCGAGAAATGCAATAAAAGTGTAAAGTACGGTTAGTTTGGTTTTAAAATTACATTAAATATTTGAATGTAATACTAAAATCGTTTAAACCAATGTATGGTTTTGCTAGAAAAATAAACATTAAATTTTATATTTTAAAATCATTTTGATTAAAGTTCTTCAAATATATTTTAATATATTTTGTTTAATTTTGATATATTTTATTTTATTGTATTTTTATTTTGTAATATAATAATTTATTTTATTTTTTACTTTAATTTTAATGCATTGTATTTATTTTTATTTTCCTTAAGGCAGTAGTCTACTTTAGAACTCCAAAAAATGCGTTTTTTCCAGCAATTTTTTGAAAGGGAAAGAAATTATTATCAATGTTGTCATGAGTTTTCTGAAATGGCTGCAGTCAGAGCTCGTAAAAGTATTTTATTTTTTTAATTTCTATGAGTGTGTCTTTCATATGAACTAAAAAAAAAACCGAATAAGTTGGAAAATTCGAAATTTTTTCGAGGTTTGGAAAACAAAATCACTTTTTTGAAAAAACAAATTCACTTCAAGTTTCAAAAAAATAGTTTCAATAATACTTTTGTCCAACTATTTTAGTTCAAATAGAAGCTAATTCAATACTGAAGCTAGATCACTTTATTTTTTTCGATCGGGTATACAATCTTTTTGCTATCTCCAGGGCTGTTTTCTAAGACTTGTAAAAATTAAAACTCGAGAAAATGCGCTTCAAAGTTCTGCCCGTGCATTTGAACCTGCCCGAGGCTCGACCACTAAAACTGCTTCTAGAATATGTCGAATTGGCCAGTTCAATTCCGAAGAAATATTCTTGGATAGTTTTAGAATGGATTTAATAAAAAACGACTACTTAACCTTATTTTCTTTATGTAATTTTTAATTAATTTTGTTATTAGTTTATTTAATTTAATTTAATAACATATTTCATTTTATTTATTGATTAATTTTTATTTTATTTTATTTTATTAATTGGTTTACTTTGCTTTCATTTCAGTAAATTTTATTGTGTTTTCTTTCATTTTATTTTTATTTAGTTTAATTTTATTTCATTTTGTTTTTACTTATTTGTTTCATTTTATTTTCTCTTTTATTTTATTTTATGTCAAGTTAATTTAGTTTAAGTTGTTTGTATTTTGATTTAAATTATTTATTTAATTTTTTTAAATTTATTTTGTTTTGTCTTATTTTGATTTCATTTAGTTTATTTTATTTCATTTAATTTTTTGTATTTTGTTTTATTTATTGAACTTTATTTTACTTATCTTATTTTTAATTAGTTTTGATTTTATTTCATTTCATTTTGGTTTATTTTAATTTTTTATAATAATTATACATTTCATTTTATTTATTGATTAATTTTTATTTTATTTTATTTTATTAATTGGTTTACTTTGCTTTCATTTCAGTTAATTTTATTGTGGTTTGTTTTATTTTATTTTTATTTAGTTTAATTTTATTTTAATTTTATTTCATTTTGTTTTTACTTATTTGTTTCATTTTATTTTCTCTTTATTTTATTTTATGCCAAGTTAATTTAGTTTAAATTTGATTTATATTATTTATTTAGTTTATTTTGTTTTGTCTTATTTTATTTTGATTTCATTTAGTTTATTTTATTTATCTTATTTTTAATTAGTTTTGATTTTATTTCATTTCATTTTGTTTTATTTTAACTTTATATAATAATAGTATATCCATTTTATTTATAAACTGTTTTGTTTTAGTTTTATTTTATATCAATATTTTATTTTATTTTTGTTTTTTATTTATTTTTTTATTTTCTGTTTAATTTATTTTATTTCAAGTCAATTTAGTATAATATATTTTATTGTATTTTGTTTAATTTTACTTTATTTTTAATTGAAAATGTTGTATATTAATTTTGTTTTATTTTTAATATTTATGTTAATGTTATGTTTATGTTAATTCTCCTTTGAATAATTTCATTGAATTCATTTTATTGCATATGTTGTTTTTTTATTTGTAATTTTGATTCATTTTAATTTCATTTACTTTTCCTTATTTTTGTTTATTTTATTGTATTTATCGTATATTATTTTTGATTTAATACTCGTAAGGCCAATAGTAAAGTTTCGACTAGTTTTTGGTATAATAAAGCTTTAATTAGAAAGTTAATAAAAAAGCTGACTAAAAACAAATCGAGAGTCTTTACACATTACACACATTAAAAAAAAAATAAAGATATATAATTCTTAGCATCAGTTCAGGTAAAATACTCCGATAGTGTTGCTCAAACAAATACTAAAATTTTTAATTTTTTCGATATAAAATAGAGTTAATGAAGCCAAAATACTCATATCAATAACTACATTCATATATTCTTGCATTTCTTCAAAATTATCAAATTAATAATAAATATATCTATGTAATTTCGCTTTGCACATCATTGTGGGGAGTATATATTCTAAAATATTCTCAATTTGCCACATAATATGTTTTAATTAATTGGGCATTTAATTAATTAATATATATAATAATATTTTATTGTATTGTAATTTAGCGAGTATATTCTAAGAAAAGGCTTCATTCAAATATCTCCTTCAAATCCCTTGTGCCGAAAGCACCAAAATCACTGAATGCGCAGCGATGCGGATGCGATTTGAAGTATGTACTCATTGTACGTTGTAAGAGTTCATTTGATTTTCGTTTTAGCGAATTACGTTCGGTTTCCATATTTGGTTTTAATTTGATATGTGAAAGTATCCATTGGTTTTTTAACATTCGTAATTCCCTACCCAGCCGTGTTTCGTTGTCATTCACCAAACCCTTTTGTTGCGGCACATGTAGCGGTTCGAAGCTGCGCATGCGCGTTTTCATTTCGTTGAAATGCAATTTAATACGTTCCTCTCGCTCATAACGTAAACATTTATTGAGCGTTTCAATTTCGCGATCACTTTCGCCGGTAGAGAAATTAATTACCTGCTTGCGTGCAGTGAGCACTTGCTCCAGTCGTGTATGATTCTGTTCCATGACGGCGAGCTTCATTTGCATAATATTGAAAGAATGTGTAATAGCATTTTCCCGCTCGCCTATTAACTTGTCGAAATGTTCGATATGTTCGATAATCTGTGTCAGTGATTCCTCTTGGTTGCGCTGAGCTTTTATTAGGTTCCTTTCTGCATTCTCTTTGCGTACTTGCATTTCGGAAAATTCGTTCTGTTTCATTTTCGCCAAATATTTTTGTGTTTTGATCTCTTTATCTCTTTCGAGCAAAGCGTGTTTTAGTGACTTTATATCATCTGTTTGCTGTTTCAGTTGCATGGCGCGTTGCAACAGCGTGGTGGCTGAGGAGCGCACAAACATTGTGTTCTTATTTGCACTGCGCAAAGTCTCATTCTCCGAGATGAAAACGGTGAGCTCATTAATAAGTTCGTCAAGCTGCTGAATGCACTGATGGAATAAGGCAGTTGGCGTTGACTTTTCCTCTACCGCATATGTGGTGCAATTGGAAACAAGAATTTTCCAAAGCTTCTTATGCTCGATGGCTGCGTCGCAGGAATAATCTTCGTTGTTAACAAGAGTATTCGCCGATATGTCCTTTGTGCCATCTTTGACTGTTGCTATTAAAATGTTCACAAATCTACCGAAATGTTCGTTGCAAGTTAGTATATGTTGTATGCGTTCAATTTGTTGTTGCTGCATGGCAGAAATATCGATAGTGGCAGAGGTAAGCTTGCGTTGCAGCTTCCGCAGTTTTTGCTTGAATTGGTTGACGTTTTCCATAAGGAATTGCATGGCCCAAAAGGATTCGGTGTTTTCATCTCCCAACTGTATGATGGTATGCAGAATACCAGCATTCGTGTTAATGCAGTCCAGGTAGACCTCGAGTACCTCCACGAGCATAACGTAGAGTTGCTGTTCATCAATCAGTTCGGCAATATTCTGTGTGCAAATGAGATTTGTATAGAGTGTATTGAAAAATGATAGTGTCCGCTCCACTCCCTCCATTGGTGTATTTTCATCCAACATATCGCCCTTTAGACGATTTATCAATTCATCGATAGACTTCTCTTGTGTCTCCATCTCTCCGCGGTATATGGCGGCATGTGTGCACACCTCGTAATCACTGTGACTTAAACCGAAAATTAGTTGCTTTATGACTAATTTGAGGCTGCGCAATACGTAGAGACATTTGCAGCGGAAAGCGAATCGCTGCACGGAAAAACCCTCGAATATTGCACTTTTGGCGAACTCACACGAAGATGGAAACTTTTCATTAATTATGTGGCATATAATTTCAATTTTTTCATACAAACGTTGCAGCAGGAGCAGCACCAATATGATGTCGTGTTCGCTGCCACGCAGCATGATATCTTCGGGCACGAACGCCAGTAGGTGACCAATGTGTGCTTTACACAGCTTGAGTTCAATTGCATTTAGACGCACATCAATGGCTCTTTCACATGCCTTTGTCACCGAAAACATGTGATTGAAGTCAATACTTTGCGTTTCGTCCTGATTCGAGAGTGTACTGCTGAGATCATCCGAAGTGGAAGTGCCTGTGCCCAAGCCTAGCGCATTTGTTGGCGGCTCTCTTGAGAGGATGTTATTATTTAAAGTCTTGACAAGCTCCCTAAATTTCATAATGGTCACATCTCGGTCGTATATGGTTTCCAACGTATTGTTTTTCTCTTCTTGTAACATTTTTATCGTTATATTGAGCGCATCTATCTCTTCTCTTAAATCGATTTCTAATTCTTGATTACCTTCAATTATTTGCTCATGTATCTCCTCTAGCGCCTCCAGTTCCATAACTTCTTCCTCCAGCAATTTCACACGTTCTTCTAACTCTATTTTCGATTCGGCCAACGATGAAACCATGGACTCTGCACCCAGTGCTGCATCTACTTGCTCTTTCAAGTCGATAATATGCATTTCCATTACATCAATACGTTTCGAAAGTATCTCTTTCGTTTTCTTAAGTTCTGAGATCTCAGACGTCTTCGTCTCCAGTTCCTTGTTGGCCTTTTGTAGATCTTGCTTTTCGTGTGTCAGTACATCGCGCAGACGCACCACTGTCTCGCGCAGGCGTTGATTATACTGTTCGAGTCGTCGCATCTCCGCTGCTGTAGGCTGTATGATTTCCTCCTTCAGTTCGTTTTCAGCATGCACACCAATTGCTGCCGAAGTCGTATTGTCGTTTTCTGCTCTCAATATCTCAACGTCCAAACTGAGTTCCTCAATGCGTTCATTAGCCGCCTCCAACTCGATTTGTAAAGTTTCGGCGCGCTCTTCCGCCATTTCCTTGTCCAACGTGAGCAACTCAATATTCTCAGCCACCTCGTCTAGTTCGCGTTTATACTTGGTTTTACTTTCGTTCGCTTCCCTCAGCTCTTGGCGGCAGCGTTGCAATTCACGCTGCAACATACCATGCTGCTCCATAATCTGTGTTTTGAATTCGCTCAACTGCTCCTTCTGCAAGCGCACCCGTTCCAATTCATGCAAACGCCGCTTGTCGTCCAAACGCTGATTCTTCAAGTCCTCCAATTCCTCCATTAATTTCGCATTTTGCGCCTCCAAATCCTTACAACGCTGTAGTTGCTGCTGTTGTTGTTGCAGCTGCTCTGTGGGACTGATGGCAATTGCACTGTGTGCGCCATTAGCAATGTTGAACACAGTGGGTGAACGTTGTGGATGACCAGGCGTAAACTGAGTATGGAGAATTTCGAGAAAGCCCGTCTCTACAAATGCCGAACGCTGACGGACACAGCAAAATGACTCTGAGGGGCTCACAGTAGTCTTACTGCGCTTGGGTGCAGCAACGGATACTGTAGCTCCCGTAAATGAGAGCTCCAGTTGTGTATTGGAAGAGATGACACGTTGATTTGCTTGTATGGGTTGATTGATTTTGGTCGCTTTCAACATATTGCCATTCGTGGCACCCGTCCCGTTACTGCTGTTCGCTGTTGCACTCGGCGCAGGCATTACCTTTTGTGCTGTTGTTGTTGACTTCTCAGATTTTTCAATTTGCGCTGCATTCCTTTCAAGCGATTTTGCAGTAGCAGTACGCGACGCAGCTGTTGATTCAGTTGATGCTGGCGTTGGATTTTTTTCATTTCCGGCCGAAGAGACGCCACTGGTTTGCCCTCCAGTCTGGCCGACGTGCGCTGCTGATTCTGTCATTTCACCGGATTCTTGGTTTTGTATTAAATTTAATTGTGATGGACGCACGAATAGACCACAATTAGGAGCACATTTGAAATAGGTGATGCCCTTGACGGTGCCATTATTTTTGCCTTTATCCTTTTCGTCGAGCACCACGCCTATCCACTTACCAGGCGAGAAGCTAGTCAAGCCCACGTAGACTACTTGTCCACGTAGATTTCTACCGACAATTTGCACTTTTTGGCCAACTCTAATGCTGTGCTCGGCCATTGTTCCACACTACAAATATTTAAACATTTTCGCTTATTTAAATTTTGCCTGCAGAAAAGCACTGTCACACAAAATCACGAACGGCAATAACGTATACAGCAAAGCAAATCAAAGCAAAGCAAGAGATAGATGCTCGCCAATATGGCGGATAGCTGACACCTAAGTTGCTATAGTTGTTGCTATACTGCCCACTACACTCAAACACCTACATAACAGTTGGCGTAACGTACATGTGTGTGTGTAACTCTCTACCCACTCTAACACGAATGAAATCGAAAGGGCAAACTTTAAAATTCATTGAGCATTTGCTTTTAGTTATGAAGAGAAAAACTAGTTTGCAAACCTAAAAGTATGCTTCAAATAATCGTTTAAAACAAATAACCTTCATTAGTATTGTACTCCACTCACCTCTTACCATTTAACCCAAACGACAATTACGAATTTAAACAAATTTTAAAATTTCACTAAGTTACAGCACCGGCGGTTGAATGTCGCTGACAAAGGACATGGGAGCACTTCTTCGTTTAGAATTTCACATAACACACTTTTTAACTTAATGGATAGTTTATTTGCGAAAATTTGGCGGTTTTAATGGCTGCCTCTGTAGGTGGCCGTTGATTATTTTAAGGTTAAATTTATATTTGCTGATTTTTTTACACTTTAAAACGCAATTTGCGCACACGCGGAAAATTCATATTCGCCTTGCTTTCGTCCGAACGGTTGCTCTGCTGTATGGCTGGCTGGTTGGTTGGTTGGTTGGTTGGTTGGTTGGTTGGTGGTGTTGCACAAGGAGGACACCGACAAGCGTTTTAGTTCTCGAGTGCACGAGCGCGTCTGACGTTTTAAACGTCATTTTCACCGTCGACCAACAGTTCAACTGTTCCACACTATAAATCGCTGTTATTTGGCGAGTGTGTCTGTGCGTGTTTTGTGAAACTTTGGAAATTTTAAAACGTTCTTTCGCGTCGTTTTTTCCATCTGTGACGTGTGAGTTAACTTCTGCGACTACTGCCGAGCTATAGCGTTTAGTTTAAAGAATTTTATTTTGAACGCAGCGCAAAACTAAAAAATCCATTATGTCCGTGGTAAAAAATCTTCACAAGTACATGTTGTGCATTGAGAGAAGATTGCATTGAGTTTTTTATGCTTTGCTTTCGATTTAGACTTTACTTTACACGAAGGGGTGAACCTTCAAATCATCCCTTCCACATTTTAAACTAAAAAGCGTACGACGTACAATAAACAAAACAATAACAACATTACGGGAAGGCAGTGGTGTGGTGTTGTGAAACGGGTTGTTGCTGCTATTGTGCAATATTGCGCGAGATGCGTATCCTTTTTTTTTTTATCAAATCAGACGCACACAAACACAACATACACATTCACATACACATAGACGTTCAATGACAAGCACAATTGTTCACACACATTCACATGTGTACCAATTCCACCAAATCTTCATGGAAAAAATTTGCCAGAATACGAACTCTCAACTCAATTCAACGGATTCGCGCATCTGTAGATGTATTGGCGCGTTGACACACAGCGAAATCCTTTTCCATTTTACCTATTTTGTGCTGTTCCTTTTCCCACTTCTTCATGTCTAAATGACAGATTGGACGACGACTCGCAGTACCTTTGGATTCCTGTTTTGATTTTAAAGTTAAAAGGTTTTTCATTCTGCTTCAACCGAAGTGCTGTTGTAATTGTAAATGCACACACACACACCAGCCAAAGTGCAAATGTACGCAGGTAGAGTGCATGGTTTTATCGGTTAAAGAACAAATTGCATACAATTTTTGAAAATTTTGTGGATAAATTTCGTTAAGCAATCGCTTGAGTGCTGTGAGAAAGCAGTAGGCAAATATGACGTAGACAAGATTCGCCTAATGCCTGTGGCAAATTGTGCAAAAACTCACAGAATTCTACAATTCTTTTGTTCGGTGTCAATATATGTATGAAATATCTGAAAGCTTTAGTGGTCTCATGGAGAAATACAAGTATGTGCATATCCTTACGTACGCATATACTCGTACGTAAACATGTTTGAAATAAATCACAGTAGCTGTCTGGTATAAATATTATAAATATTAATAATAAAACTAAAATTTACTTGTCGTATATGTATGTATATAGTATTTATTTCAATTTACTTAACATATGCATTTTCTTTCTCTTTGCAGCTCCTGGCTCTTGCTTAGTAAAACGGCTTGCAACTCGAAAGTATAAATTTCATTGTGAAACCAGTGCAACTCTCACGTATTAACCTGCTAATAGACTGTTAAAGGTTTGAGTTTTGAGGTTTGTTCGCAGTGATATTGAAGAAAAAGACTAACAACAACAACAACAACAACAAAAAACCGATATGGATAACAACGAGGACTCCGTTGAATGCCCACTATGCATGGAACCTCTTGAGGTCGATGATTTGAAGTTCTTTCCGTGCACGTGCGGCTATCAAATATGCCGATTCTGTTGGCATAGAATACGCACGGATGAAAATAAATTGTGTCCGGCTTGTCGGAAGGAGTATACGGAAAATCCTGCGGACTTTACGCCACTAACTCAAGAGCAAATTTTGGCTTTCAAGTCGCAGAAGAAGCAACGCGATCAAAAGCGCAAGCAAAAGGTACGCGTTACTGAGAACCGCAAGCATTTGTCGAATGTGCGAGTGGTGCAAAAGAATTTAGTATTTGTTGTCGGTTTGCCGCCACGATTGGCCGACGCTGAGGTACTCAAGAAGCATGAGTATTTCGGGAAATATGGCAAGATACATAAAGTTGTGATAAATCCCAGCACCGCCTATGCCGGTGTACAGGGGCCATCCGCCTCGGCGTATGTGACTTATGTAAATAACAATGACGCTTTGAGAGCTATACAAAGTGTCAATACACGTAACATAATTATAGATGGCAGACTTATCAAAACCAGTTTGGGTACCACAAAGTATTGCAGTCACTTTATGAAGAATCAAGTGTGTCCCAAGGGCGATTGTATGTATCTACATGAGTTGGGCGACCCAGAGGCTAGCTTTACGAAGGAGGAAATGCATCAGGGTAAACATCAAGAATATGAGAAACGATTACATGACGCATTGGTAGTGAGTTCCAACAGTGCTGGCTCGGGTGGTTCAAATGAAGCAAATCCAACGAATGGCAATGTAGGCGCTACTGTTTGGGGCAGCAGCGGCGATGAGAAAAATCATGGCAGTGCGAGTAAAAATAGTAACACAAATAAAACAAATTCCAGTACACAGTCTCCGACCACGAATTCGTCTGCGCTGCCTTCATCACCTTCGTTATTAGTAACATCTAATGGGTCTTCGGTGGAAACAACAACAACAACAGATTCGTGTCCTACATTATCTGTTTCACCCGTAAGTAAAGACAGCTCCGGTGAAGTAAAGAACAAAAAAGAGAGAAGTAGACACGAAAAGAATAAAAATGACAAAAGTACTAAATCGAAAAATAAAAACAGTTCAAATGATGCAAGCAAAAGTTACAGTGGCAATGCACAGCGAGAGAATAGTAGTAATAATAGCGATGTCAAAGATGGCTCAGATACGTCTGCCGATGGAACTGCATCCATGTTTGCCAGTCCCGTTCAAGATCGTAATCTTACACCTAACAGTAGCAATACTAGCATAACAAAGGGTAAAATAAATAAGCCAAAAGCTTCGAAAAAAGCTGTCGATGAGCATGACAGCAAACAAATAGATGAGAGCGAGAAGATTTTTGGCGAGAACGAGAACGAGAACGGGAACGAGAACGAGAACGAAAGCGATAATGTAGTTAGTAATAATAGTAATTCAATTTTATCGGCGGAGCTTTTTGAAAGTCCTGAACTAACAGTAAACGAATCAACTGATAGTAAGGAAAATGAAAGTAGCGAAATAGATGATTTGCTGGCGGATAAATCGTTCGAAGATTCGATTTTGAAGAGCGAAGATAATGAAATTCAGATCGACCCGAAACCAGCAATTCCACAACTCAATCTCTTCGATAACAAATTATCGCCTCTCTTCTCTCCTGGACCATCACTACATAACTCGTTGAATTCGGAGGATAAGATTGGAGACTTGTCAAACCAATTGAATAATGTAAAAATATCACCGTTGCCAGATCTTTTGAAAGGTATTGAAGAGCAACAGTTCCAGCATGTCCATCCTTATCAGCAAAAGGAACTGGCACGATTTCTCGAATTACACAAGCAAAATAGTTTATTTGGCAATTTGAATTTATTGCAAAACAATGTTCCACCAAGTGGTTTACAGAATCATTTTGGCGGTCTGGCCGAGGTGGGACAATCGCCACTAACAACATTAGAGCATGCATCAGAACTACTTATGAGCCAAAATCTCTATGGCATTAACATGTCGAAATTCTTTGATTTTCATAAGAATCAACAATTACAGTTACAGCAACATATTGTTGGCAATGAGCCGTCTATTGGCAATGGTGGTAATACTATTTTAGAAAATACCTCGAATCCTTATCCCTTTATGCAACACTCGGCCTTATCGAATTTGCAACAGCAACAGCAACAGCAACAGCAGCAGCAGCAACAGCAACAACAACAGCAGCAACAGCAGCAACAACAACAACAACAACAACAACAACACCATCAGTTACAACAGCAGAAGCATAGAAATCAGTTGGACTCGATGTTGGGTATGCAACACCTCAATCCTACCATGCAACCTCCACCACAGCAGCAACAACAACAACAACAACAGCAACAACAACAACAACAACAACAACAACAACAACAACAACATCCTTTGCTTCAAAATCAACATGGTCGCATGCAAAATGAATTTTCAGCAAATACGTTTGTTGATGATGATCTAGGCTTTGATCCATTCACAGAAACTCAAAAGGGCTTGGCAGAGCTTATGGAGAATGAAATAATTAAACCGCAACACCCCAAACCCATTACCAGCAATGCTATGCGTATGGCGGCTGAAGCCAATATGATGCATCAACATCCACACACCATCGATCATATGCAACGTGCGCGTATGCCGCCACCGGGTTTCAATCACATGAATACATTTGGTTTGAATCCACCTCGGGAACACAACACTAGCAAAATGATGCCATTCTTAAATATGGGCGGCAATAGAGGACATGCAAATGATATTCAACATTTGTCTGCTTTCAACGCATGGGATACACATTTACAATCGCCACGACATCAGTTACCGAATTTCAATGATATTCAAGCTCATCAAATGAGTCAAAACAATCGCAATGCTGGCAATTTGGGCAATGATTGGACGGCCATGGATCCAGCAATACTATCTTTCCGTCAATTTCCGTCGTGTCCTCAACCATCGCAAATGCTACACCATCATCAGCAAAAGGAATTATTTCCTTCACATTTGACACAGCAACAGCAACAGCAACAGCAACAAAACACGTTCGGCAATCAGGCTCACGCCGGTGCAAATATGCTTTTGCCCAATAATCAAATGAGTTCGCAATCTGTCGCTCAGGCACAGGTGAATGCTAATGTTCAAGGAATGTTGGAATACCTTAAAAATAATCAATTATTCTAAGCGAAGGGAAAATATTACGAAATTATAAAACTATTGCTTTTAAACAATAAAACTATCGCTTGCTTATCTTTTGTTGGTTTAATAGAAATAATGATTTTAATTTGTTCAACAGCGAATATCACGAGGAGGTGAGGTGTGTTTTCGATTCCACTTTAAGAACGAAATTTCTTTTCTCCCATGTCGTTCAGTATTCATAGCCATAAGAATCGCTGCCGAATTGACCAGAATTATTTCTTTCAGCATAATTTTTGCTTTTTCATATACCAGTTATAAACTACACGTATGTACATGTATGTATGTATGTAGAAAATTTTTCAAATTTTTTTTAGAGCTGATTATCAATAAAAAACGATTTTAGGACCTTTTATACACTTACACTTACGAAACCTAATCATCCCATTTAGCTGACGCTTCGACGGATGTGCGAAACGCGATTGTCATGAGAGATTTCCTATTTGTTTTGATGATAAACGAAATTCGATCGCACAAACCCAATCCCATTCACGTTACGCTTGCGCAGCGCTGACTCATTAAACTTAAAAAAGAGGGTTTTTTGGGCGAAAAAATTAAATATTTTTGCACAATCCTTCAATTATTTACGGCATGTGCGTACGAAGGGTGCAGGAAGTGTAAACGTCTCGTAGGGCGCAGAGGAAATTAGTGCTCGTGTGCAGTCTAGCCGTGCAGAGGGGTTGTTTGCTCTTTTACTTTTCTGTATATATGTATATATGTATTTTAAAAAGTATGTTGGATAACATTTCCAAAAATTCAGAAAATTGCATTACTACGGCAAGGACGTATGTGTGTGTGTGTGTGTATTCTTTTGTGCATACTCTTCTTACTTAGCTTTTGACTGTTACTTTTTACTTTCTCAAGAGACAAAACAAGCTACTTGACTGCAGTCGATTCAAGACACGTTGAGAGTGAGAAGAGACGAAACCATTGCTCAAGAAGTGTATACATACATACGTATGCCTATAAATGATGCATGCGAGGAAAATCTAGTTACAACTTCGGCATTATTGCTGACAAATGCGCGCGCATGCGCTTTCTCAAAAAATTAACCAGGCAGCTGCAACTCTTCCGTCAGCCGCCGCTAGTGCAAGCAGACGACGAGCAGTAAAAAACACACACACCGTATATGCATGTGTGCATCCGTACATGTGTGTGCGTGTCTATATAAAAACCGAAATTAAGTTCACGTGGATGCTGCGCAGATGTTAATGCTGTGAAATCCGGTTCAGTAGATCTCATTTTGCGCAAACTCGGAGATTGTTAGGGTGAAGGAGAATGAGTTAGCTGCAAAAGGGGATTTACGAATCTGAAAGGGTGCAAAAGGGCATAAACCTTTATTTTACAATTTTGTTTTTTTTTTTTTTTGTTGATTCACGGTTTCGCGGTGGTTGCGCTGTGCAGTTTGTGTGGCTGTTCAAACTGTTCAAAGCAAAGTAAGATACCAGACCGTCGCACCTAGATTTAAAAAACACATAAAAAAAAGCACTCAAACCCCGAAATGAAAACGCTGCACAGACACCAGTTGTGTCGGGGATAGTAACGGTTATGTACTTTACAGTTTTTTTTCAGGTGATGACTATTGCTTTTTCTTTATATAAAAACATACGTTGTAATTTTCAGGTTACAAATACACTTTCTTGTGTCTGCGTCTAATGTGAAATAGTTGATACCATCATTTTAAATAGTTTCGTTATCTTTTTTTATTTATTTTTTGCTGTAAAATAAAGAAGAGGAGCCGGAATTTCACGCTTTGCTTATGCTTTCGATCAATTCATAAAAACTGTTAATATTAAGAAGAAGGAAACGAAAGCAATTAAGGAAGTAAAATTATTTTAAATTTCATTTTAGAATTTTTTTTATATTACAGGCCTAACAGTGAGTTTACTGGTAAAGTAAATTTTGTTACTTTTTTTAACACCCGAAATTGAATTTGGTATTCTGGCGAACTGGTTACAATGTTTGAAAAAACTTGGGCAGCACTGCTTTTTTCGTCCTTGTCAAATTACATTTGCCAGTTGGTAAGGTAAAAAAGAAAAATCGAAATAGAAGACGGTGCACAACCAAATAAATAAGTTTTATTTGTGGGTTTATTGAATCATAAATATTGGAATCTAATTTTAGAAAATATGCCTAAGCGACAAAAAAATGCTGAATTTGTTTCTCGCAAACTTCTTTAAAAAACTCCTTTTTACACTTTTTTCTTCATCTTCAATGAATTCTAGGTCTAAAATATGGTTACCCATTTTGGTTTTTATTTTTTCTCAAACTAACAACACAAAATCAAACAGTAGATTTTTTGTTACCTCCTATTTCGCTGGTAACAAAATTTACAGCGTAACAGTGAGCTCAGAATACGAACTGGCAACAAAATTTACTGAGTGATAAATTTTAATACCAAAGTAAATTTTGTTATCTAGACAGAATAGGCCTGTTAGTGGAGTGTTGATACATACATACAAGTGCATGTATAGTATATAGTCGAAAACGGTATACGATCCTTTTTTACAATACAACAAAGTTTTTATGCTGTTCTGATTTAAATTACCGGCATTTGGCAGTCAGGATAATTTTTTTCTTTTTTTTTTATAATATTTTATTGAAACTTTCCTTTTGGAAACTAACAATAATTTGGAAAATCTTAAATCTAACTCTTATTCCTAGAACAAGTTAATCATTACCACTGTATAGATTAACAAAGTAAGCAAAGTACAATTTAATGCGAATCTAAGTTATATTTATCAAAGAATGTATTTATATACATAGATATTATTAGGGATACCAAACACTCAAGATATATCATAAAGGATAATTTGAAGTAAATTATAATATCATGAAGGATATATGTGGAGCGGCAGAGCCCTTAGTCACAGTTCAAACGTAAATCCTCTCTCTTTAATCGCTTACGGTAGTTCTGCTGTAATAACTTTTTAGCTAGAAAGTTTGGGTGGATATATGACCTTAAAGAGTAATTTGTAAGCAGTTTCTCTATTTCCTCGGTAACGATTTAAATCCCAAGATCGTTGTAAATTGTAGAGTTAGGATAATGACTGCATTTCTATTCTGCTGCTTTCTGCCAGAACATTTCCATTTTATTAAAATGAAGGAAAGGTGTCACTAGAGCTTAACAAAATGTCAAAATAGGCAAAAAGTACAAGTCAAATAAATTCGTTATAGAAGTTATTTTTATTAAATGAATAGCAGTGCATTACAAAGTTTATCAAATCAAAAACCTGTTGTAGTTTCCACTTTAATGCATGACATCCCGCACACTTGGGAAGTTTGTTACTAATATAGTAATGGAAAAATAACTTACACTCACCATTTGCACATTGATGGTATCCATGACGGTTGAGGGAGGCTTCTTCATGATTACTGTGACTCGTGATGGACACATGAGTGCAATCGATAGCCCCAATAGTGCCTCCAAGATGAGACCAGGATGAGGCAAACATTTTCTTTATAGCTGTCCGCTCTTTTTGTATAATGGGATATCTAACCTTCGCAGGAATCATTGAACGGTTGACTGCTTCTGTTACGCCATGAATCAACGGCTTACTGACGACTGACTCAGATATATTCCATATCGCTCTTCTACGGGATGTTGGCAGCATCCAGTTGCTCAGAATCGCAAGGTGGTTTGAACCTTTAAACATTTTATTATTTAATAAAAATACTTAAAAGTTATATTTTTACCTGCTTTTCCGTAGATAATGCTGTTGTTCTTCTGCCTTTTAGTTGGTTATCAAGAATCGTAGCTGCATTCAAGTGGAAACGATCTTCAACTTCCTAAAGGAAACTACCTCCTTGTCTTGTGATAAAACGTATGTCAAATGCTTGAAAGCTATTTTTGTTTATAATTTTATTTTAATTTTTATAAAACTTAGGCAATTTCCCGATTGACTTTACTTTATTGCAACCTTAATGAAATAACAATATTTTGTCGATATCGCTATCAACTTAAAAATATTCGTCGATTAGTTAGCGATTTGTCGAGTAGTTTACGACAATAGCGAGAGCGAATATCGTCAAAATAAGTACAAGAGGTATTCAAATCGCTGGAATTATCGTTAAGTAATTTTTGCGATCTAAAAATCGATATATTGAGCTTAGATATTGGCGAATATCGTTAAAATTATCGATAAGTCTTATTTGCGATCCGAAAACGATTATACTGTGCTTAGAGAGCTTCGAATATTGTCATTATACAATAGAGAATTCCCCTACAGGGTTCGAGTCCAACATCACAAAATTATAGAAAAATCGGTGTACCCTACAACGCTTCGCACATACTCATTGACTGTATAAAAAATTAATCATCAATAATATTTTTATCATAACTTTATTTACTAAAAACTGGTGGGTTAACAACAACCTATGCACCGAATATCAAGTAGACCTAACGATAAATACAGTTTTTTCGAATTGGTCTTCATGTTGGTCTGAGCAAAAATCCATTTATGTTTCGAATTTTAAGAAAATCGAACAACAAATGCATTTTTTTGTAAGTCAGTCCCTGGTTTATTCCCCCAAAATAAGAATGGTTCGATTTTTTTGAATAGGTCAGTCCCCGGTCCGCTTCCCCTAGAGAAGAATAATCTTCCTGTTAATCTAAGCAAAAGGCACCTGCATACCGAATATCAAGAAAATCCAGCCTTATAAACCTTTTCCAAACGGATATAATAAAAAAGTCTTAAAATAATATATAAGATCAATTTAAAATAAAAAATTAATTTCATTTTTCTAATTGCGGTCGCCTCTCGCCGGCGAATGTCAAGTCTTCCGAGTGTATTTCTGACATGCAAATCAACCGTGCGGAGGCGGCTTACAAGAAATTGTAGTGAAGAGACTCCATTGTTGGAAAAATATTAAGATGGAAATTACAAATAGGAGAAGGAGCTGGCCGCATACATATATACAGTGAGTGGTATTAGATGAGTTGGTTTTTGGGGGTATGCAAAGAAGTGGTTAGGGGAGTGTGCGGATTCATTGCATGCAGTGCTTACGTTAGGTATGTCGGGGTGAAGTCTGGTCGTCCTGTCTAGGTGGTGCTGAATGTAGTCCATAAAATCGAGT